GAGGATGTAAATTCTTACCTTGATCTCGATTTCCAAAAGGTTGCCAGCATTTCTTTGATGGGGTTTAAAAGCTAAAAAATAGAGCAGCTAACAGCAGTAACAGGCTGAGTGATCAGCAGACATTCCTCTGTGGAAACTATTCACTATTTCATTTTTAAATAGCTTCTTAGATATGTTTCCTTCCTCTTACCTCATTTACATTCACCTCCCTGATACTAAACGTGGCTAACTTTGAGTCTTCATTCAGTCATAACCTCCACACCAAAGAGTGTTGCTGTTTCTACTTGTTAGCGCCTTCATATTGTTCTTTTTGTGATCCAATAAAATCAATCAGATATCTGAGTTTCTGACTGAAAATAAACCAATTCTGGTCACTGCTGAATTTCAGGGGTTTCAGTTATAGTTGTAGTAAAAAAAAAATCTTTAATGACAAATACTGAGCAAATAAAATCGTTGAAATTTCTACCTTTCTATTGTGCTGACAAAAACTGCCACTATTAATTCAGTCAATACATGGGGATAGTTCACTTTTGTATTGCATTAATATGCAAGCAGTCGCGTATCTGAAATGGTATTTAGATTTCGTAAAAAAAATTAGCTCACAGATCTCGACACATGGCAGCACATAAAATTAAAAAGCCTCTCGGCCTGGTTGATTACAGACGGAGAGTCCCGACGCTGCCCAGCAGGGTGATTAATTCCTCCGCTCACTCTGAGAGGTCAAAGTCATTTTAATGAGCCCTTTCCTGTCCAACAAAATATCTCAAGCATCTCATTTCTTGCAGCACTGCAGCCACTTTCAATAGCTGGATGTCAGGTTACATGTAAACAGCATGCGTGTTAGTGAATTTGTCTTTCCTTCTGGGTGTTGAGTTTTTGTGAGTCTGATTAGCATTCCTCAGAGGAAATGCTCTTAGTGAGGAGCTGTTGATTTCTGGGATCTTTAGAAAAAGACTGTTTTGATTTCATTTGAGAAATGACGTAGATGAAAACATGTAGATGAGGTGTTTCAAGAGTAACTCCTGCATTCCAGATTGTGCTTGTGTTCTGGGTTGTGTTTTTAGCAAATAAACTCAAAATAAGATTGGGGTGTTCTGTTCTTTTTTTTTTTTTTTAACTGCAGCAAGTCCCTATATCAAACGGTACGACTAATCCCTGCAACTCGACAAAATGTGAGGTGAAGCTGGAGCTCGCCTTCGAGTATCTAATGAGCAAGGATCGCCTCCAGTGGGTCACCATCACCAGCCAGCAGGTAGGCGGAGCCTGGTCAACTCAGTTCAAATTCAAAAATACTTTGTTTGATCCCAAAAGGAAATTAAATGTTGTTGTAACTCATAATAATTCAGATTCTTCAAAGAGTTATTGGTGATGACTGTTGACCGGAAAGATCTCTTGTAGGAAGTTTTGTGTTCTTGGCTCTTGCATAAAGAAATTGTTCAAAAGGTGTGAGAAACTGAAAGATTTATTCAATGCACAAAAGCTATTACTTTGGCATGTTAGCCTTGAGTTCCTGTAATTACATATATTAGACTGAGTCATGACTCCCACTGCTGTGCCTTTTTATAGCTGTTCTGTTAATAAAACTGGCTTTGAACTTGTGATTTCAGGCAATCATGATGAGCACCTGCCTTCAGTCTATGGTGGATGAGTTGATGGTGAAGAAGTCAGGTGGCAGTATAAAGAAGGTTTGCGTTAATTAAAATGCATAAATACATTTCGTGTCCTCTCTGTTGTGCAAAATGATTCGGATTTGTTTTCATTAAACTGTTTTGGTTTGCACACAATTAAAGGTAGCATTTACTTTTGGGTTAATTATTTAGCATTAAATTGTTTACTGAAACTTTTTATTCAATTGAAGACTGTAAATTATTTGTGTATGATTATTTAAGCATCAAACATTTTAATTGGTAATACATTTTCCAACATTAAGTCCATTTTTATATCATTTTGAGTATTTTTTGTCTCTCTCTCTCTTTCCAGATGCTGAGAAGGCGACACAATGGCTCCATCCATCGGTCTGACAGTCAGCAAGCTGTGAAATCTCCCCCTCTACTGGTGAGCAATGGAATAGCAGGCTCAGCGTTTTGACGATCAAGATGTCGGGTGTAATATCTTTTCACATTGACTTACTTTTTTGGGGTCACAGGACTCCCCTGATCCAAGCCGAGAACAAATTGTCAAGCTGTCAGTGAGTATTACTCTGTCCTTTTTCTGGTCTCTTGACATCAAACTAAAGAAGATTTGATTCATTTCATTCTATTTTTTCCCTTCAAGTTTCAACCACTCATTTTTATTTTATTATATTTTTCAGACCAAGCTGAATTCGGTGTCTCTCAGAGGGATCAGCGCGTCCAACTCTGCGAATGATATCAGCGGCGATGACTTTCATGGCAACTACGCTTTCGAGGGAATTGGAGACGACGACCTGTAACGCGCAAATTGCCCAGCTTCCATTCTTCATTTCACCAGAAACGACTAAAGCAACAAAGATCACGAGCTGAACTGAGCCGAGCGATCCACACGAGGCATCCACGTCTGCAAGATTGTAGCTTCTTTCCGGAGAACTTGCTGCCTTAAAGCTCTCATTTACTCTTTCACCACCATTTGCTGTTTTATACTCTAAAGGCTCGCCCTAATTAGTTTTGCTATAATCATTCCATTAAGACTTTTTAAGTCGTATTGATTTTTACATGAGGAAAACCTTTCAAGTGGCTGCATGTTCCATCTCCAACCAGAGCCAAATGTTTGTTTGTGTGTAATGTGCAGACCTGCCACTAGTGATTATATCCCAGAACGGGGGGAAAAAAACAATATGTGATATATCCAGCAAACGTGTTAAAATGTATCTCACAACTACAGAAAATCTAGACCAGCCATATAGATCAGTGTTTGGCTTTTCAAACCATGCTTCTAAAATGTTTCCTGCTACTCTTGTGCCAAATTGGGAAGAAAAAAAAAAGTTAGAAGAGGTGTCACTTCTGCTGCCTTCAGAAGCAGTACGACGCCTTAACTTGTCACTCACCGCAGGTTGAGAGCAAACGTTTCAAACAAGTAGAATCTTACAGAACTTGATGGAAGGTCAATTGAATTAGTGGAGCTGCTTGCATTTACCAAGCCCATCATTTTTGCACAATATTAAAAGTAGTTGAGCTGAATTTTTGAGCTGAGGCTCAAGCGTGACGGTAAAAACATCCATTTTATTTTGTTTTTTGCAGGTTTTTAAAGGTTTCTCATTAATGCCAAATTACAGTTTACTAAAGCATTTTGCACAAAAATAAAAAAAAACAAATTATGATAATGTCACTTTTTATATTCTGTACTTGCAAGTAAGCATTCTGAATATGTACTAATATCTGTATCATTGCTTGTTGTAATCGAATAGCTTAAATATAATCTAAGCTGTATGAAACAAAGTCTACATGGACCAACATTGATCATGTTTACGTCTTGGTTTAAATCAAGTGTTTACAAGTTTATTGTGATTTTTCTGTCTTGTTCTGTTCTGACAAATGATCCTGAGGGGAATGTTCTTTGAATTATTGTGATTTGTTGGCTGTTTCAATCATGTTGAATGTTTTAATTAAAAAGAATGGTGCTTCGGAGTGGCTAATGTAATCAGAGTTGCTGTAACGAACAAAGTTTCTATAGAGTAGGCAACAAATTGAACATATCTCACCGTTTAAAAAAAAAAAAAAAATCAACTAAGTATCATGTCGCCACTGTTGTCTCAGTGAGTTATGAGGCCATTAAATGTAAATCAGTGCCAACGGATCAACAGCTTTATTTTTACTGGTAACTGGAACGACAAATGATGTAAATGTTTTCATCCTTTGGCTGCTTTGACTCTTTTTACTTCCTCTGCTCTTTATAGATAGGTCAATATCAACAACAAAGGTCATTTTTTTTTATTTTCTTGTTTTTCCGTCACTTCAGAGTTCACAGGGCTACAAAATCCTGATTGTTGGTAAATGTGTACGTGCCAAATCTTAAAAAGTGTTTTCTTTTTTTCCATCAGCGTCATTTCTGCATAAATGTCAAAATTCATGAATAATCATCAGATGTCCAGATGCTAAAATAAACTCAAAAGATTCACTGACCTTGTGACTTGTTTTACATCATTTTTACCCAGCAGTCATGCCAAAACTAGTGGAAAGAAACCAGTTCTTTGAACAATTTTTTTTAGATTTTTCTGTTAGCTCCACTAATTCACCTTAAAACTGCGGTATGTAACTTTAATGAGCATTTTCTTTAAATATATTAAAACTCACTATGTTAAAATAATGAGAAAGATCATCTGAAAATAATCAAGCTCGTCTGCCTAATCTCTGTGCTCCTACTGCCATCTGCAGATGTACACCTCTCAGTTAGAAACGACCAATCAAAAACAGGAGGGTCAATCGCCCTCCCCGTTGCTCCCTGCTAGCCTTCATCTATCCCACACAAGTCAGCAGGGATTGCGCCAGCTAGTTAGCATAGCCACCGATAATTGTGGGTAAACAGTTTTTATGTAATGGTAAGTTGTTTTTCTGCCATTAGCACATCCAGCAACATGTACATTAGCATTATTGAACACGCTATTGTACACACTGCCGTACATTAGAGTGGCTTTGACAGGTTATTCTGGGAACGGTGTATTGGCTGAGAAACTTGACGTTTTTCAGTTTTTTTGTCACGTTTCGCTGTCACAACATGGCGACAGTTTAAATAAATATGTAAATAATATATACACATTGTTTATAAAAGTTACAAACTGTGGCATTTAACCACTCACATGGAGAGTAAGAGTTTTCAACATTAGAATTTTTATTTTGAGAAAAAAAATATACTCCTTGCCTCATATGTGTCTGTTCAGACATGCAGATTGTACTATTGAGATTATTTAGCCCATAAATGCTGAAACAAGTTAAAGCTGTGATGAATAAAACAGACAAAATTCGATTGTGTGACCAAATGCTACGCTTCATGCAAAACAAAGACAAAAAAAAAATCAGACAATTAGCTCGATGTTTTACATCCAACGATGTGTAATTCCAGGTATTTATTTCAAACTCCTCATTTAAGGCATTAATGATGTTGTAAAAACAGAAACGCCCACTTGCAGGAAATAGAAATCCATGGGCTCATTGTGACATGTCGAGTTTGCAACCTGGAAAATGTCTCACTTGCATAAAAGTCATTCACAAACACTTAACATTGAATCACAGTTCTTATTTTCCAAACATGGCAGCTAAATGACACGGCACAAAGAGAAATGCACTTTAATGTGCATTACAGCCACATTAGAGAAATAAAACTATCACTTGTTCACATGCTTTCTATCTGATTAATCTCTTTTCAGGTTGAAAGAAAAATAAAACTCACAGTAAATAGCAAACTAAATTAAAGCAGAGCTCTTCCGTTGAAAGACTGTCATCAATGACATGTGTTGCAGAGCTGCAAAAATTACTGATATGTTAGAAGAAATGAACCTGAAACATTGCAAATAAAACTAATCTCTAGGCTGCATGTGAAATATTTAAATCAATGCTTCACCTGGCAATATACTGTGCTTTTTCTCCGTTTTGTATATGCTAGTGGTCGTCTCCCCTTCTCTGAATATTTTATTATTTTTTTTACTCTTTTGGTAGGCTCTTCTACATCAACAGGAGCTGGTTGAGGCGGCTTGGTGATCTGGTTGACATGCTTTCTCGAAGATAATGGATGGATGGCTCCTGACATATGCTGAACTATTTCACAGGGAAACCGTTGGATAAAATCAGATCATACCAATCTGGACGTGAGATCAATTATTGCCTGCAGCACAACTGTAGTCTTTTTCTGTTTATTGGCTCGGTGTCGATGCTAATGACCCGGTTTCAACACTGAGCTCTGCGAACAAGTACACCTAAACGGTGCGGAGCGCTGAAACTACCACCTCAAGCGACTGCAAGTGAGCACAGAAGGAAGAGCAGACAATTTAAAGCAAAAACGGAAAGCGTCTGAATTGAATGCAAGAAGTACGCTGACTATTGTGTGAACAAATGCTGATTAATTCCACAATTAGCTATGCACATTTTAAGTCTTTAACTTATTGCTTTTGTTTCGAGTTGGCACTTTTTGATCAGCAGTAATGAAAAATGATCTATATAAACGACACTGAACAATACGTTTTGCTATACGAGGAAATGCCCTGTGACAACAATCTAGAGGCTGGAATCTGAAATGTGCACCCAAGTAACAGAAACAGCAAGTTTAACTTTATATTGTCAAGAGCTAATCTACTAATACTCAGAGGAACACGGAGCTTTATAGATGTCAGAATTATTGAGCTTCAAAAAGCACGGGCTAAAGATTGCTTGTAGTAGATCTAGACCCAATGAATGGAAGCAGAAGACGGCCCATCAACATGCTCAACATGCATTTATGGTGCTAAATTAAGTCTTAACACATTTCTTTCCTTTTACAGACAAAATGTAGGAGATTTTGGCAAAAAGAAAAAAAAAGTAAATAAAAGTAGACTATTTGAGTGAGGGCAGCATTGTTTAAATTACTGGCACATTCATAAAGACAAACACAATTTCTGTAGTATTAAATAGCACTTTGATAGCATTACATACGGCGATCTGAACGCATATCACTAACGGAGATTGAATCTGTGTTAAAATCAAAAACAAACAAACAAAAAAGCACAATAAAGATGTCTCCAGAACCCTTCTCTTCAAAGCTGGAAAGTCCAGTTCTGGGTTGATACAAAATTGTCAAACTGAAGAGTAAAAACTTTATTTAGAAGAAAATAACCAAACAAACTCAGTACCAATCTGCTTTAATTTCCATTTAAAATGAACCAAAATAACTAACTTGTGCATTAAAAATGCTTTAGTGACTTGTCAGAGCAGCTGGAGCAGATAAGGGAAGGAGGTCCACCAGGATGGCAATATTTGGTCGTGTCATCGTTCAAATGACAACATGCATGTAGTGTGAGGGTGAATTATCAGTATCTGATCACACAGTGAGGCAGAGGACTTCCACAGAGTTCCCTTTTTTTATCTTGACATGAAAAAACAAAACACTGTAGAAAGCAAACAACCCAAAAAGACATCAAAAAAATTGAGAAACTTAATTCCTAACTCTGCCAGATTCCACTTACTGAACAATTAGCAGCCATAGAAGAGATCTGACGCGGCACTGAGAGACAGACGGACGTTAAAACCAGGCTCAGTGAAAACAATCAAAACAAGTTGCTGGTAGCTTAGTTTTGCTGTGTTAAAATTTATGCAACCTTAAGTTTGCAGTTTGAGTGTACAGCCAGCCCCCGCCTCCCGCGGTAAGTACTGCATATCAGCTCCAACTTCTTTTCTGTGAGTCTGAATGCCTCCTCCTATCCCTTTCCTCCTGTCCTCCTCTACGTCGTTGCCGATCATGGGAACTTTCACCCAGCCGTCAGTCGCCACGCCATGTTTTTTCTGATGTCTTTTGTAGTTGTCCCAGTGGCCGGTGGTGTAACCGCACTCCTGACACTTGTACGGCTTCTCGCCGGTGTGCCGCAGCATGTGCCGCTTCAGGTTCATGCTCTGGTTGCAGCTGTAACTGCACACGGGGCACTGGAAGGGCTTGGCGCCCGAGTGGACGCGCTGGTGCCGCTTGAGGTTGGCCAGGTTCCCGCAGGCGTAGTCGCACAGATGGCACTTGTACGGCTTTTCTCCCGTGTGCACCCTGTGGTGGCGTTTGAGGTTGTCAAAGTGCGCCGAGGCGTAGTCGCACTGGGGACACTTGTACGGCTTCTCGCCGCTGTGAGTCTTCATGTGGCGCGCCAAGTGGTTGGGGTAGTGGGTGAGGAAGGGGCAGGCGGCGCAGGTGTAAACTTTGTCACTGCGCTCACCGGGGCTGTTCGGAGACGATGAGGAGTCCTTGGTCAGCATCTCAAGGGTACACTTGGCACAAATCTGGGCTGAAGAGCCGTCCTCGTCCTCCAAGACGACCCCGCATAGACGGCAGGTAAACGGGAAAAGTGGAGTCGGGAGCGCCGCGCCTTCTGCCACGGCCCCTCGAGTAGTCCTGCTGCTACTGCTGCCGGTCATCTCCAGCAGAGAGGGAGGCTGGTGGCCAGGCGCTGGGTTGGAGGCAGGGATAGGGGGTGGAGATGCTCCCTTCAAGTTATCAAAGACTGACAGGTAGTCACTGTTCTGGGACCCCAAACTCAGATTAGAGGTTGGTCTTGCAACTTCAGAGACTTTGAGGGAAAAAATAAAATAAAATAAAAAATCACAAAGTGAGTTATTATGTCATATGAAATATATTTCATTTACAGTTGTAGATACAATTTAAAGTGCCTTGCAAAACATTTACATCCCTTTAAAGCTGCATTATTTAACTTTCATAAAAAACAAAAAAGGTTTTCAATATTTTTATAACTGAGTATAACATGAGAAAGGTAATCATTGAAATAAATACTTTTTTTTCAAATCAAGTTTCTCTGACTCCTCCTAGTGGTCCATTTACAGAAATACATCAATCAGAAACAGCCAATCAGAGCCAGGAGCTCTACAGCTCCTCCCCCACATCAGAGAACTAGAACGGCCGCTGATTACAGCAAATAAACATTAATCTTTAGCATCCTGTAACATTAAGTTGTTTCTGTGCCTTCAAGACATTAAGCAGCGTGTACACATGTATGATTGACAGCATTAAGACCCTTCATTCTGGCTCTGACTGGTTGCTTCTGACCAAGTGGTGTATTGCTACAGATGGCAATAGGACCACAGGGGGAAGCCAAGAGAGTTTGATTTTTTTCATAGTTTATGTTAAGCTGACATGGTAGCAGTTTTAACAAACTTGCAAAAAACATATTTTTATAAAAGTTAATTACAGTCATGTTACAACCAACTTCAATGAAGTAGATTTTTTTGTGTTGTCCAGTAGATAACATTACAGGAAGTCTTACCTGAAGCACCAGACACTTCCTCATTGGGTCTTTGCTCACTCCCGGGTCTCTTCAGGGTGTTGTGGCCACACACAGGTTGAGGTGGGGCGTCCTGCCCCACTGCTGCAGAATGCATCTGGGGCAAATTAGGCACATGCATGCGCTGGTGCCTCTTGAGGTTTCCAAGGGAACTGCAGGCGAAAGCGCATGTGTCACATTTGTAGGGTTTTTCCCCAGTGTGGATGCGCAAGTGTCTCTGCAGGTTCACCAGCTGGGCTGAGGCGTAAGTGCACAGAGGGCAGTTGAAGGGCTTCTCTCCATTGTGCGTCTTCATGTGACGCTTCACGTGGTTGGCATAGCGAGAGGAGAAGCCACAGAGGTGGCACGAGTGCTGCTTGAGCAGTCTGTCCTCAGCGGACAGTTCTTCCTTCTCCCCCACCCCGTTCCCCAAGCCCTCACAATCAGGCTGGGAATCCGCACGAATCTGGAAACCAGAGCGAATCCCACCACCGCTCCCAAAAGGAGAGCAGAAATCGGAGCTTTTCGCCTCCCTGGAGGCTTTGCAACACCTAAGGCAGTAAGGCCCAACCAGGTCCATGCCCGGGCCGAGAGGTTCGTCGCGGAGCTGTCCGCAGCCCCTACAGGACAGGTAAGGAGGAAAGGTTGGCTCGGATTGAGTCCCTCGGCTCTGGCTTTCCCTCCTGTTGTCACCTGTGCTGCGCGAATTGTCTGTTTCACTTTCCATACTGAGCTGGCTGTAGGAAGAGCTCTCCTCATCACCCAGAGGACACACGGAGAAACCGATCTCAGCAGCTACTTCTGGAAAACAAAAACAAACACATTTCATCCTAAAAGCCCACAAAGTGAATACAACTCTCACAAATGTGCACAGCTTAAAAAAAAAAAAAATTAAAATAAAATTATGATTATGAGATGAAGTTTGAAGAACAAACACAATGCAGTTAAAGTCTTTTAGATTCAATTTGCATTCTTTATTAAGAAAGTATTTTCCATGGAACACTGCTGTTTGCATAAGTGCTCCATAAAAGTGGCTCCCAGTTCAACAGACAATACAAAACTACATTTGTTACGATTCTATCTACGATTCTATTTCTTGAATTTCTTCTTTTAAGCCATAAACTTCTGTTGTTGTTTTCCTGAGAGTTTCTGTGAGCGATCAACACAAGGTACTACACCATTCTGAAAGGGTTTTCATTTTTCCCCCCAACAAATATTAATCAAGATAGAGTGCGAAGTTTTTAATCAATTTGCTTTGATACACAAAAAATAAAATTCCTTTTCCCAAGGGGACTACTAAAACAATGATTGATTATGGCCCTATCAGCTTTGCACTTCTCCAGATCGAAGTTGTGGATGCATCTCAGATTTGATCAGACTGAACGATAACTTTCACGTCATACGGTCTTTTGTGAGTATGATAAAAGTTTTACTTTTTCCCACTTCACTTTATGGCTAATGGAAAACTATAAACATGACTACGTCTTAATTTCTTTCAACCTCTGCTGACTTCTTACTTCTCTTCCATAAAGACCATGTCCGTGGAATGTTAATGCAGGTTAATAGTTCTTTCAACACCTGAGCTGCAAATCTCTGCAGCTCCCCCAGTGGCATCCCAGTCCTTCTGGTTGCTTCTACTAAAGCTTGGTGTGCAGTTCTACCACAACAACTCTTTAAGCAAACATGGATTAAATGAGTTATGAGATTTAATTTCCCTTTGGGATGACATGTCTTTGGATTTGTCTAAATTGAAATGCTCCATTAATACCAAAAATAAATTACTTGTTTATTAATTGTTTGAGCTGAATTTCTACAGGGCTAGCAGAGTAAAGGGGGCAAACACATTGTAAACCAAATTTTTCAGATTTTTAATTTTAGATCTTTTTGAAGTGTTCTTTTTCTCTCCGCATTACAACTATGCACTATTTTTGTTGGTCTATTATTTATAGCCCCAGTGTATTACATACATGCATTTATGGTTATAACATGACAAAATTAAGAAAAATCTAATGAATAGGAATACTCTTAGTAATCAGACGGTGCATATTTTAACCAAACACTGTGGATGCATAGAGTGAAACGAGCCAGATCTTCCTTTTCACTACATTACAGTGAGCTTTCAGTATGTTCATGTCACTTCAACTATCTTACGACTTAGCTATGATAATTCTTATGTAAATGTTTAAACAAGCTCAGCTGTTTCTCAAATTAAAATATGACCACAGAATTTATTTCAAAATTCAGTGGAGGCATTCAGGACGGGGGTGGCACTGTGCCACACACAGCTACACAGACAATGTTGAGTTTAGAAAACAGATTTTAAAAAAAAACATTAAAGAGAAGAGGTGGGAAAATAAATGTGATGACATTTTTGAACATAAAAATTCACTTCCGTATTGTCCCTTAAGTGATAACTTGTAGCAAAGAAAAAAAAAAACAACAACTTTCAGGTAGACAAAGCCTCACTTCACAGTAAAATCCTTTTAGTGAATGAAATGATACTCACAGACTAAGCCGAGTGTATTTTAGAGGTAGAAAATCTGTTTTTCCCAGACGATGGGAGCAAAAAAATTCAATGCTTTGACATGCCGAGCTCTCAAGAGCCGAACGAGCAGGACTGAGACCACCTTCCTCTCCAGATGCTGAAGCACAAAGTGAGGAAGGGGAGATCTGGAGCTGGCCTTTTATCCCGGCCCATGAAAACCCCTTCTGGATGATTACCAGGCCTAATGATAATGATGATGACTGCTGCTTCTGATGATGATGATAATGATGATGAGGGCAGAAGATGATGATGATGATGATGATGATGATGAGGGCAGAAGATGATGATGATGATGATGATGATGATGATGATGATGGGGAAACTATAATGGAGGTAGAAAAGCGGGAGCAGAGGCAGCACATGATGATGAATAAATGCCTTCTTATGATGATGTCCCGGATGGTAATGGTCCCGTCTTTATGACCCTTATATAATGTTTGTGTCTCAGCTCCTTCTTTTGCTTTCTCGTTTTTCAGTTTCACTCAGTCTGACAAGCAACCAAATGTTACACATTTCGGTGTGTGACAGCGAAATGTGCGCTGCCTGTTAAACACCGTCGCCAAAAACTGCAACGATGTAGGTGGGAAGCATAACAAATAAAAAAAAACAGAGAGTCTAGCAAATTAATAAAAACATTGCGGTCGTGTGTCAGTCCTTTCAGCTTGTGAGACGAGACAAAATAGAATCCAAAGTTCAAGAGAACAAAAAGTGGAAAGACTGAAAGAAATCTGTGAACCGCCGTCTTTTGTTCTTACAACTGGGTTTCAAACCACAAAAGATGAAAGTAACACTTCACATGACAATATTTTCCCCCTTACATTAATAAATTATATGAGGTATTGATCTCCTTACTAAATTTTGGTAAATGTTGAAATACTCCTATACTTGAACTTCTAATTAGATACCAATTCATTAGATGTCCAAAGGCTGAGAAATCCTTAAAACTTTTTTTTTCACTTTCTGGCACAATATGAAAAATGTAGCCCTTTCTACTACAGGAAGACAGTTTTCTCTTGATACACAAGAAAACCTTTTAAGAAATGGCAGCGTATCAATTGATCGCTAGTCAATCGTTTATCAGTCAACTTTAGATTAACTCATCATTAATCAATAGCTTTCTTCCCTAAATATAATGCATCTGGTTTAATTTTGGCCATTATAATTTTAAAAATTTGCTATAAATCAGAAGTCATATTCAGCATCATTAGCAGGCGGTGGCCTAGCTCATCATTTTTATACCTTGCGTTTAAGTTTTTTATGACTTATCTGACATCGAATATTATTTTTTGCAACTGGGAATCTAAAATGGAGCACTTAAAAACTTACAAGAGGTGGAGATTTCTGCAACACCAAATGACTGCAAACCTGATGTCCTCTAGACAAGAGACATGTTGAGTTTTAATATTAGATGAATTCTGGAAATACAAATATTTGTCTGTAGTTGTTTTATATACATATGTATATATATACTTATCCACACCATAAAAACAATCAATTCAAACTCACCATATTCCAGACAGAATAGAAACCCTGGTCTTATGTTTAAATTCAACATAAAACCAGGCTCAGATTTACTGTTTTTTTTCACCAGTTAGTGAATTTATAAACAAAAACAAACTCAGTTTCTAAGAAAATAAATAAATAAAAGTCCCACAAACCTGCAAACTTTTCCAAGCCTAGAATTCTGTCGTGATCTGCATCACCAAACTCAAGGTCTTGTTCTAGAAGGAAGTCTGTGTCTAAGGGAAGGTTTCCAGGAGCGTCAGCAGCTACACCATCTTCAGAATCCACTGTGGTCAGAAACAATAAATAAATAAATAAATCACACATTTAATGATTCTAAATATTTGAAACAGTCCACAGAAAGTCTTTGGTGTTTTCTCCAAAGGCAGTAAGGTAAACAAATACTGTTAACAGTGGCCAAATGTTGCTTTTTTTTTTAATTAAAATTTTTTATTTTGTATGATTTTATTACAGTTTCATAATCTAACACTAAGTTTTCCATAAAAACAACACCTCTAATTTAAGTTAACAAAATTACTATAAAATACCAGTAAATATTGCAATGTTTTAAAGAAAGTTTCCATTTTTACTTTTTTAAGATGAGAAATATAATGTTTCTTTTCCCCCCGAAGGGTCTAAATCTGACATGATACATTAAATTCTGTTTCCAATCTTCAAAATAGAAAGTAGAAGAAAAGGTGCTCCTTCAAGAAACGCAGATGAGTGTTAAAACTTCTTACAACAGGAAATGGCTTCATAAAATTACAAGTAGGTTTCCCATCTCTTCCTGGAGAAAAGGTATATTTTTCCCATCCAAAATGTCAATATTTGTAATTTGCTAAATGCTACCGATGCTGAGATAAGACTAAAGCTTGGGACACACTACATGACTTTCACAGTCTTTACAGATTTTGGAAAGACTGACTTCACACTAACAGACTTTTGCAACTGAAAAACGAAACTAAACCAGTTGAGGGATTACAGACTATGAATTGTATCAAAGCGACTAAAGCCAGTTAAACATATCAAATTTCCAAGGGCAACAGTTTGAAGGGTAAAACAGATCCATAGGTGGGACCAAAAGAAGATACTTTCCCAACAGGGGAGTCGGCGCTGTATTTCTGCGCCGGCTTCCCTGCTTCTGGGCCGATTTCTTTTCAAAAGGGTTCTGAGAGCGTTGGTGTGCGCTTGTCCCTGCCAGGAAATCAAAAACCAGTTTTCAATGGACCTTCACCAAGATAATGATCCAGAAAACTCTCCAAACTAAACACAAAGGGTTCACCGGACATAAAAAGTAAGTTCCCTGAACTAAATCCACTTTTGGGAGAGCTGAAGAAAAGAGAGCACAATAGACGACCAGGGAGTTTGGATTATATTGTTTTTACTTTACGAAATCACGTATGGAAATACCAAGTCCTCTCCTAATAGTAAAAACGCAGTGCAAAGAGTATGAACAATACACAAAAGTCCTTTATCTAAAAAAAATAAATAAATACTCAATATGTCAGGGGCATATTGAGTTTATGAAGACTATATACATCTTCAAAGTACAGATCAATAATGTAGTCATATTTCAATTTCACATCAAACTACAAAAATGATAAAACACAAAACGAAGACGGCAAAATCTTACATCTTCTAAAATTCTTTCTGAAGTCGCTTTTAAATAAGTTTGAGAACAGCCCAGTTATAACTGAACAGCTGATCTTCGAGTCAATTTGATGTGAAGACATGGATCGAGAATAGAAACTGTTTCAAATGCTGGTTCTGTTGTTTAGGACTTATGTAAAAACAACAATAACAGTCAACTTTAAGAAGATCCATAGAGCACCTACACTTGACTGGCTGTGGATTCTGCTGTTTTTTTCTTGGCATCTTCCGGTCAGCCTCTCTCTTCTGTCCAGCGTCTTCTTCCAGACTTCCACAACCATCAGCTCATTGTCATCTGTTCGGATAAAATATTTTGAAAGTATCTAATTCCTCAATCAGCCACATCATTGTGCGCATGCACCTAACATCCGAGCTCCTCTCTTAAGCTCTGCGGTCCTATCAGGCACCCACACATTTGCAGCAGCTTCCACAGATGACAGACGCTTGACTGGACTGAAATCTTAACAATATAAAGGCCTAGACAATGTCTTAAATAGGCTTTGGCGGTCAAGCCACTCACAAGCAAACTTGGAATTTTCATTCTGAATGATCAAATGCTCTCAATTAAGCTACAGGAAGGCATGGTACTTACATAATTAGCTAAGGATTATTACAGTCCAGACGGTTCTTCGCAATATGCCTGAGATGTACATTAACACCGCAATAGCATAAGTTTGTGACATACTGCGTAGCCCTGGTGGGCACATTATCATGATCAACGAGTGAGCTCTCATCGTTACAGTAGGGAACACTGTTCTCCTAAGTGAAACATGGAAAAAAACTGTGTCCAGAACTTAAAATTTCCAAACAACTTTTTTTTAAAACCTCCACAATGAGCCAGATTTTTCCGATGTGGTAAGGTCAATTTAAAACAAAGAAACAAAAAAAAAACTGATCACAATGGCTGCACACCACACACATTATTACCCAGAGCTACACAGACAAACGTCATCTCATGTCTCAAAAATGAATGGGCTGTACTGTATGTACAGTGCTTTGAATAAGTATCCGTACCCCCGAACCTTTTCACATGTTGTCATGCTACGACAAACTATGATATGTGGAAAGGAATAGACCAATGGTGCATAACTTAACTTTCATAGGTTTCTTTTTTCTGTACAAATAAGAATGCCTTTACAAGTCACCTAATCAGTAAATTAAGTCCAACTATGGATAATTTATTCTTAATATAAACTATTTTTTGAAGGCCTCCAATGTTTGCTTGATAATTTTAGTGAACAAGCAGCGGCATGAAGACCAAGACACACACCAGACAGGTCAAGCAGAAAGTTGTGCAGAAGTTTAAAGCAGGGTCAATGTATGTAGCAACATACAAAGCATTTAACATCTCAGAGTTCAGTCCATTATTCTAAAATGAAAAAAAAAAAAAAAAAAATGAAACAACTGCAAATCTACCAAGACATAGCAGTCTAATCAAACTGGCACCCGGGAAAAGAGAGCATTAATCTGACAAGAGTCCCATGGTGTCTCTGGAGGAGCAGCAGAGATCTTCAGCTCAAGTCAGAGAGAAGCTGTCTGCAGGACTTTTCCACCCTTTTGTGAAAAAGTATCAAGATGAAAGTCATTCATTGAAGAAAGACATATGAGGTCCTGGTTAAATTTTGCAACAAGCCATACGGGGGAGACAACAAAAATCTAGAAGGACGTTTTCTGGTCAGAAAACCTCCTTGCTGATGTGGCCAGCATGCAAAGCACTATGTGCTGAAGAAAACTCACACTGCATACGACCATGAGCACAACGTCCCTTACTGTGAGATATGGTAGGAGCAACATCATGCTGTGGACATAAATATCTTTAGCAGGAATGGGGGTTGGTGAGGTTGGAGGGGAGCAAAGCTGATGTGAAGATATATGGAATTGAAGACTGGGTGATTCTGGAAGAAAACCTGCTTAAAACTTCAGATCAGGGAAGAGGATTAGCTTCCACCAGGCAGGAATGAGGAACTATCACACAGTTCATCATGATATTTAAGGGAACAACAAAAAAGCCTGTAAGGTTTCCTGTCCTTAAAGAAAAAACTATATCTCCATGAGAGCAGGACTAAAACTATAAATTAAAAACTATAATTAAATATGATCTACAGTGTTACATGTGGTGAACAAATGAACTGCACTACTAAATTTATTTGGTGTCCTGATATAGCTGATTGTTGAGTTTTTTTTCTTGTCCCTGCCATATAAGCTGTTGCGAAGAACTACTTTTTTATTCTTATTTATAATAAATGCTAAAAAGGAAAAACACAAGATACTTTTTAGTCCATTTTCCTCATCCTACACCCAGTACAACCCAACAGTTGCCTCTATAATTAGTAATCTGTAACAGTAATTGGTCATTCCAAATTGCCCTGTAATGGATGGATAGATTTTCATCATTTCATGAGAAAAATATATTTTTTTATTTGATTTTTTTAGATTTATCTTAGGGCCATTCATGTATAAACTTAACTAAAACTGACTTAGAATTCGGTTTACAAAACGTAAACAAAGTCATATTTCCAGCCATAAGAATGACCTCAACGGAGCAATTTTAACTTCATGATATAGGCCTATAAATAATATACATGTGTTTGTCGAGAACAATAAACATCATGGTCTTGCTTGCCTGGTCTCCAGAGTGTAAGATTAGTGCAATTTGGTGATCACATAGTCTTGATTTGGGAAGGCAATTTAATGTCAGAGTAGTTTTTGTTACTTTACAATGAACAAAGGTGAAACATAACAGCTGAAAAAAAAGGCTATAAACCACTGCAGGGCGCATTCTCATTTCCATGTGGAGCATGTGCAGAGCGTAAACAAAAGCCATTAAGGTGCTACAGCAAAAATGGCTAACAGATTCGCTCTGGAATTGTAGTACAGCATGAACAAATCATGTGCCAGGCAGTAAAACAAAGCTGAAATGCTTTTATTTACTGCAGGACACAACCTCACAATGCAAACATGAAAAAAAAAATGTCAGCAACGTTTCAGTGTCCGCTGTTAAGCAGTCCGACGAGCAGCTAAAATTACAAGCTTGTCCTTGTTCTTGTGCAGTAATGAGTAACGAGAACCATCTTTAATGGCTATTTCAGCAGCAGAAAAACATAGTTAACCGAGTAGCTAATGGCAACTTCACTGGTTAGCTATCAAGCTAACTTACCTAGATACCGTAAATATTCCAGTCGAGGGGAAAGGTTTTTATCATCGGTAAATTGTTCATTAGACGAGAAGAATATTTCCTCAAACACCCGAGATCTGTAGATCCGCCATCTTTTCATGGGCTGCGGTGACAAAGAAAGGCAATTAATGGTATTTTTCATAACTTAATTGATTTTCTGACTCGTCTGAAAGCCAACGGTAACCACAACTACTACAGTACTTCCGGGTTTTGCTTTTCAGAGTAAAAACAAGGCAGCTTTCTTTTAAGCAACACTCAAACTTTGTGGCTACTTTGTATTTTATATGTTGCTTAATTGCTTTGGTGGTGATTTTCCTCGGTATATTTGGGGGAAATGTTAGAAAATTATTATTCAAATTTGCCCAAAATTTACCTTTGATATATATTTTTTGTTTATCCTTCTGCCCTTAACTGAAATAGTAATTTTTGTATCTTCTACCAAGACAAAAAATAAGATGGGAAATGTATTTGTGGAAGTCATTAGTCCAGACAAAAATGTCATAATTCTACTTTGATACATTTAACACTTAATCCAAATTAACCATCTTCAATGTATTTTATGTGCATTCATTTGCCTCAAACCTTTTCATATTTTGTCATTGCAATTAGCAATTTTAATATTTTTTATGTGTTCCTGTTGAAGTAGAGAATCTTTACGTAAATATTTCACTTTGGGTGAAATATTTACTCAAAGTAAATATTTAGCCATCACAATGTTTCACTTTAGGTGTGATGTGTTTAATGTAGAATATGTGTGTAACAAATGATTTTTAAAATGTTCTACTATTGAACATTTGTAGAACATGGTATTCATCCTCCCTGAGTCAAGAGCTTTAGAAAACTACTTTTAACTGGAATTACAACACTCAATGTCCTCGTCTTGAAAAATCCCCAACTTTATACAACTGGAGACTAATATTTGTACACTTTATTTGTAAAACAAGGCTATATAGAAACATTAATCTAATTAGTCTAATTGGACTTTAATCTGTACTTTGACTAGGTAATTATAACATGATTATGCTTTTACCTCAGTCATTCTATTTGACTTCTGACTGTAGTCAAATGGAATGACTTTAGCTATTCTATTTGGCTATGGAATGGCCAATAGAATAACTATAGTCTGATATACTGGTAATTATACAATATGCAACTCCACCCATTTTCTCATTAATTTTTACTTTTCTGGTGGATATCTTACATTGTCTTTAACACATAGCCTGTAGCTCAAAAAGTTTGATTTTGATCTTACCTGACAAGAGTCTCGTCCTCACATTTGCTCTGGTCGCTATGGTTACGTCTTTTATTTTGAAGGTTTGTGGTTCAAACCGGATGTTTTGATTTTCCTGGCTGGATGAATCTTGACTATTGTGCACCAACATTTTCTTTCCGATTCTAAAAACATTTCCGACGGCTTTCTCTCAACATCTGCTAACTAATGTTAATATTTTGGTCTAACGAGATTAGAGTATTATATGAATGTTATAATAAATAGCAAACATTGGGGATGCAAACCTCAAAAATATAAACACATTATGAATTTAACTCATAATGTGTTTATAGCCTACTACATATTATAAATTGATGTGTAGGCTAATGTTAAAGTCAAGTAGCCTATATCAATTACCTAAGTTATGCAATTAAGGATAAAGGTCTTGCAAAGATGCCTTTAGACGTGGAAAAAATTACTGTGGAAATAGAACACAGTAATTTCCACGTTTAAAATGATAAACGGACCATTTTGAAATGGTCCGTTTCAAATTTAGAATATTTCTTACCTTTTTTTACGGTAAGAAAACGGACCATTTTGAAATGGTCCGTTTATAATTTTAAAAATAAGAAAATAAATTCTCATATGAAATTAGGTCTGGATTAAGACACTTTAAAATTAGTCTGGTAATTATATTAATTAACAAACTATCTCAAGAACAAGACAGTAGGCCTTTAAAAAAAATAAAATACATTTTTGAAAACTGTTCAACAATACAAAATAATTTATTACTAACATACCATAGCTTATGACTTGAGTGGATTTGTAACATTGCAACTTTGCTGTTTGTACTAAAGTACTCTTACTATAGATAGCATTGCAACAACTCCTGTTATCTGTGATAGGTCAGAGACAAATAGGCCTACTACAGATAAAACTGAGCAACAGCTTATCAACGAGACTTGAAGCGGAGTGAAAATAGAACACTGAAACAACTTTGAACACGTCTTCAACTGCAAAATGATCAAAATGCTGACTAAATCTGGTCTGGTTTGAACAACTCAAGGAAAGTAAAGATTTATCAGAATTTTTAACAAGGCTGTGTTTTTTCAAATTCTCAGTGCCATTAACATCCCTTTACTGGTAAGGTGAACTTAAATGACAGACATAGCCACATAAACCAGCTTTGAAGAGCCTTTATAATGCTATTTTGATGTTTGAAAATAGGTCTTGGAGATATGCATTCTGTAAAATGAGAAGTCATCTTGAGGTCCCTCTGCAGCCTTTGGGCCCTAAGCAGCAGCTCACTTTGCTTATGCTTCTTACTGAGGATAGGCATGCTTTTTGCCTCAGCCACATCGAGCATGGCTTTGTTTTATTTATTTATTTTTAGCATTTATATATCTGTTTTAATAAAACCATATTTTTTTCTTCCACTTCACAGCTGTGCTGTGCTGTGCAGCAAGCAGTCTGCGTGAGCAATTCGAAAAGTTGGCAGTAATGGAGCAAAATGTGAAAAGGCTCCCGGGGTGCTAAAACTTCAGCAATGCGGATGCTATTTTTGGAGTAGCGGGCATACATAGGCCTACGTCTGTGGGGTTCAGAGTGTTTTTGTTATGGAGCCGGTGTGGGAATTCTAAATAGGGGATCCTGGGATTCTGCGTCACTTTTCAGGCTGCTGTCACTGCAGCGTGCAAAAGCCGCTGGGTTGCCACCGCCAGACTGGCTCGAGGACCCCTCTCCTTCTCGGGCTGACCACCGTAACCCCCCGCCCCCTTGCCCCTTCCGCTCTGCAGCTTTGTCCATCCCAGGATCCGCTCTTTGTGCGGCAGTAAAGAGGAGGAGACGGGTATCTTGTGCTACTGTTCGCTCCTGGATGGGGAGGAGCCAGTTGTGAATCGTGTACGCTGCATAAGAGAAAGAGGCGCTGCATAGAGGGGAGAACAAAAAAAAAAAAAAAAAAAGGTAAGAAAACGCAATTTTTTTACGCAATGGAGATGATTTAGGTTTGACCCGCTGCGGAGGATATAACATTAAGACGCGCAATCAGACGGTTTGTTGTTGTTTTCAGCCGAGTCCATGTGGGATGCAATGGAGGTAGAGGTGAATGCGACTGTGCATCGCCTGTTAAACATGCCACTCCCTGCAACAGCACGCTGATGCGCTGGACAAACCCCTTCGTAAATCATTTTAAAAAAATTATAAAACATGACAATAACTTTGAAATACGCGAGGAGGCTCTGGAGCGCTGATTTTTGTCGGCGTGCTGATTTAACTCATTGCATCTAAAGCTGCACGTCTTGCACAGCCTTTTGCGCACACGGGCCTGGTTGAAGAGAATTTTGGACATAAATTGTATATTTGAATATATCAAAAAGTTTGGAAAGATTGCCACCCTTTTTGTCCATTTTTATAATTCAAAGCGCCGTAATAATATGCAGTATTTCAGCATGATTTTATAAAGTGGTTACTTAATAACTTGTAAGGTAACATGTAACTTAACTACAGGCTTTCAGAGTGGAACTGTGTGTTTCGGTCAGGAATTCCTCTGAAAGCATCAGTGTGTGTGTGTGTGTAGGCTGAGGTCATCCTCATGCTTCTAAAACCCGCATTGCTGCTGTGGGCATATGTCCAGCACACAGATATTTTTAAATGCCAACGGGTTTCCCTCTTCTGACGCTGCTGAACATGGGCCTCAGATACAAAAGCGACTTCATCATTAACAGGTGTCAAAGAAAGGAAAGAAAGGAGGGGAAAAAACTGCTGTGAAGAGAAGAGGTCAAGAGAAAAACCAGAAAACTGTTTCTTTCCCTTTTGAGAGGGTGGCAGGATTTCTAAGGAGTAGAAGCTTCCAATTCAGATTGTGTAACAATCCCATCTGTCATTGTCCTCTTAAAAGACTTGCAATAACATATGTCCTGTGCATTTCAGACTCAGAGTTGTGCAATTTAGAGACATTATTTCCACACAGCCCCTATGAGAATTTTGCTGTAAGCACGTTACATTATGCATGAGCTAAAATGGCATTCTGCTTACACAGATACAGGTGTTTCAGCTTCTTGCACTTCTTCAACACATTGTTTTAAATTAGTCTCTTCTTTTGCTTTCACCATCCAATTCTTAAAAGTAGTAAAAGTGTGAGAGGCTTTACGATTAGAGCAGATTTGAGGGAAAAAAAAATAACACTGACACTAATGAGAGGAACATAAAACCTTCTAAAAGTATTGGGGCTAAAAGAACATATGGAGCAGGAAAACCTATTATGACTGTGTCTCCCTCCATGAGAGTGACTGAACATGATTCTAGCCCCCAACATGTTTGATTTGTGTTCAAAATATTAAAGGGTTGGCACAGCTACCATATTATTATGTTTTGTAAAACATTAATTATAAAAGTTTTTGTGCCACAGTTGTTCTGAGATGAAGAGAATGTGGTGAATGCCCCTCAAACGAAACCTTAGGAATCATTCTAGATTTTAAAACCTGGAATATATTTGCACTGAAGTGCAGAGACTTGCCTGCAGAGCACTAAGTGTGATCATCTAAACAGATGTTAGGAACATTCAAGGTAAAGGAAAACCATTTATCTGCAGTTCGGCTCTGCTTCATGTCTGAGCTGCTCCCCTGTTTCTGCTGTTAATGCTGCTTCCCTCAGCTGTCTGAGGAATGGCTCACAGAAAGCAGGGATTATTTATTTATTTTTTTACTTTTTACTGTCTGTTCGAAATAAATAGTTAAATCTTATATCTGCTTGCTCATTCTAACCTGTCATCTTGTTAATAACACTTTGAGAAATTGCATCGATACCTGGAAGATTATCATGCCAGCAGTGACCTGGCGAGATTGAAAACTTTAACCTAAAATGCAAAAAAAAAAAAAAAAAAAAA